ACCGAGAGTTCCCCCCATCGGTGAAAGGCTGTGTGTGCACGATAGAAAGGATTCCACGACACCTTTTTCTTTCACGCTATCCCGCGTTTCGTTTCGTCGGCTCTCGGTAAGACGACGACGACAACAGCGGCGACGGCGGCAGCGTACACGAGACGGCGAACTAACTTTATTCCGTTCGATCGAGCTCCCTTTTTCTTTCCTTTCCACCTCTATCGCGCGGTATCCACGCGCGTTCCTTTTAACGCGCGCCACACTTCGGAATCCGTCGTCTGTATCTGAATAACAGCCGGCTTATCGGAATCGTTAGAGGCGAAACGAAAACACCAACGAGGAGCACACCGACGAGGAGCGCGCGGCAAGCAACTTCTATCGTCTTGTTCTTTCGCGGCTGGCTACGACTTTCGAGACTCTCCTCGCACTGTGGCAAGGTTAAACGAGATCGTGGGCAACGATAGAGAGAGAGAGAGAGAGAGAGAGAGAGAGAACTTTACCGTGCTCTTGGCACCACTCGCCTCTTTGCTTCACACAGATAGATAAATCAACGATTTGTACGCGTGTACATACGTACGAAGCACGTTGCGGCCGCGGACGATCGTTTCTGAAATGCCGACGTGTTTTTCAGAAAAGCAAGGAGGAGGGAAAGGCGAGGTTCTCGAAGATGAAATCGAGGGAATCAGCCTCCCATCGCGAGACGATCGTTGATTTTCTGCACGCAAACACGTCGCAGCGTCGTCGATTCTTACGTTCCCGTTGATACGGAGCAACGTTCGCTCGCTCCTCTTATCGTCAGAAGTCACACGATAAACCCGTCGTTTATTCTCCAAATACACACACACACTCTCTCTCTCTCTCTCTCTCTCTTTCTCTTTCTGATTGTCGTTGCCGCGAACCGTCGTGAATACCGAGGGTTCGGTTCGTTTTTTTTTCTCTCTCTCTTCTTTTCCCTCCCAAGAAATCTCGAACGGAGCAAGATATGTATTTCTCTCCGAGTTCGATAGATTTTAATTGTCGGTTAGTAATATGAAATTTTATGCAATCGACGATGATCGTTCGGCGCGTGTTTTATCGCGCTGCGAGTTTAATAATCGTATGCAAATGGAGCACAAGTCGGACGCAAGTTCGATAAGTTTCGTACTGTGTGCAGCTGGTTGAAAGTCGATCGAACATAAAAGAAGGAGGCGACCTCGACGCAAGTGGGGAGGGGAGGGAAGAAGCGTAACGAGATTATATTCGCGTCGATTGAAAAGTTGAACGTTGGGACAAGTACCTCTGAAATAAGCAAAGTTCCACAGACCGATCATGTGTAGTTCTGCTGGTCCAAGTCGGGTAGCCGGGTTAGCTGAGCTAAACGAGAACCAATCGTGTTATTCGCCACGATTGACTTTATACTGTCCAATAACGATCTGGGATCACCAGCCGATGGCGATATCCTCGTCATGTCAACCGGCGAAAATGATCCTGTTTCGTTGACGACGCCAAAGAGGAATATCGCGATAAACCTACAGCAGAGATAA